AGGATAATAAAGGAACAGGTTTCAAAGAAGACAGAAGATGGCGATTGACGATACATTTAAATTTTTGAAGATTGTAGTTGCCAGGGAAGCAACAAATCGGAAAGGAGTTTCAAAAGCGAGAAGTGCGAGAGAAGAAACTCTTAGAATGGAACTTACAGTTGCATCTAGATTCATCGATCAGGCATTAAGCACTATATCGGCTGAATAAAGACAAAAGGAAAACCTAACTTAGTCGACGCGTTTCGTTCCTCTGAGTAACATTATCAAGGCAAATGCAAGGATTTTATTTTGTAACAAGTATTTATATTCAAGAGCAAAAATTTTATGGGTTTTACAAAATTTTGTAAGGCCAAAACTTCGAAAGTTTACTGTTCAGAAAATTAAAATGCAAACTCGTTAAATTTTCAGGGGCAGTTCTATTTATTATTATTATTATTATTATTATTATTATTATTGTTTGTGTGTTATGTTTTCCGCTTTGTATCCTGTAGAGTCGGGTGCATACTATGGTCTTTAGGCCCTATAGGAGAACTGTCATTTAATTGATAACGCTTTTCTTAGTATATGGGATGTTCCTTGTAGGGCGATCTTCTGGGCAACTTGTATGTTGATGTTACCTGCGACACTGTAAGTAAAATTGTACATTCCTTTTCTCACGAGGCCCAGATCTCCGATTATTATTGGTACAGTTTCATTCCCGACATCCTGTTAATCTCGATCTCCAGGTCCTTGTATTTGGACAATTTCACGATAATGTTTATGAAGGTGTTTCTCTCAGATGGTAGTGCTATGTCAATAACCATACACTTCCTGAATTTCTTGTCTTTTATGATAATATCAGGTCTGTTGCCTTTATTTCCCAGAGGATAGTTGCATCGTTATTTTGGGTAATTTTGTCTGGTTGATAGTCATACTATCTCTCAATGGTTTTGATTTTGTGCTTCTTGCATATTTTCCAATGCACACATGTCGCTACATTATTATATCTCTGGGTATATTCATTTTTTAGCAGTTCCGGACATCCTGAGATAATATGGTCGACAGTTTCATCATATTTTCCGCAGATTCGGCATCTCGGTTATTATTTTTATTGTTGTTGTTGTTGCTCTGTAAGAAACTTTCTTAAAATAAATGCAAGGATTTTATTTTCTAACAAGTATTTATATACAAGAGCAAAAATTTTATTGTCTTTTCGAAATGTTTAATTTTAGGAACTCTCAAAATTATTCACCAGGTTAGTTTTCCTGACATTTCAATTAACTTGATGAATATTTATGAGTGTTCCTAAAGCCAATAACATTTTTGCTCTTGTATTTAAATACTTGTTACAAAATAAAATCCTTGCATTTGCCTTGATAAAATCACTGAGAGGAGGAAACGCGTCGGCTATAAGTTTTCCTTTTGTCTTTCAAATTGTCCTCTTACAGATATATATTCTATCTGAACGTTTTTTTTACACTAAATCATCTGTTAATATTTTAGATTGCAGAATGTTGATATCGAGTCACTATCAATGTCAAGACCTGATGACCTTCGAAAATTTATTGTTCAGAAAATGAAAATACGAAAACCGTGAAATTTTCAGGAGTAATGCTATTCATTATTATTATTATTATTATTATTATTATTATTATTATTATTCCTTTGATTTCTAGTTTATACACATTTCTTTCCGAGTCCCACCCAGAGATTTTCTACTGACCAATTAAAAAAAGCAACAACACATATTTTACATAGATAAAGCTCTTCGTAAGGTGTGGGTTGTACTCGTGAGAGCATTTTTTTTTTTTTTTTTGTATTCCAGGAATCCCTTCAATTAGTGTACTGGAATATTTTCCAATCAATCCGAGAGCTCCAACTAGAACGCGGATTGTTGATGTTCCGATGTGCCACGTTTTTGAGATTTCGATTTCAAGATGCTTGTATTTTGATAGCTTTTTGATGATCTTCAAAGATACATTGCAGTCTGCAGGGACTGCCATATCAATAAGGAGGCATTTTTTACGGTCTCTAATAACAATGCCTGGCCGGTTAGTTTTGATTGTTCTGTGTGTATTGTATAGTCCCTTAAAATTGTTACAGGTCCTATCTCCGTAACCGGGTTTGGACGGTGTTCATACCAATTTCTTTCAGTTTCCTTCCCATAGAAGTTGTATATTTTCCAGTGCAGATATTGATCCACTCTGTCATGCCGGGTTTTATATTTACTGGGTGCCAAATACCATGCAACCTGATACAAGATGATCAATTGTTTCTGGACATTTATCACAGAATCTGCATTTTGGTCTAGCACAATATTTTAGTATGTTTGCTTGTTAATTTCTAGTTAACAAGCATTGGTCCTGTGCAGTAAGGATAAAACCTTCGGTTACAGCTTTTAACCCTGCACTAGGTGCGTGGCCACTGGTAGGTATGGGGTTTGCCTACATCAGCTTGTTTGGTACAGGCAGAATATTGACCGTCAATTTCTACACCCATTTGAAACACCATTTTGAACTTGTTGGCTTCCTTTATCACGGAATAAAGGCACTTACTATTTTTATGTTCTTTGACACAGATCATTACCCATCTTCTGCAGTTTCCAGTCATCTTTAAAGGCCAATTGTTGTAGCTTTTTAAGACAGTTCTAGTTGAACTAATCCTCTGTCTCCTTCGGATCTGGGCACATACAGATGATCAACATCAGCTTTGGGAAGAGGCATGCGATAACAAGTGAGAAGCTTTCTCGTTTTGACGTTCATTCGTTTTGACATTAAGCTATGATCCAGTAAAGGATGTTAAAAATGTATTGCACCACAGGGAGAGCTAAGGTGTTTATGTCTGATATTCTGTTTTTTTTTTTTAATTCAGCTTGGTATTCAAGACCAGACGCAAACGTCTGTAGTACTCCTTTCTTACTTTCTCCTTCATTTGGGTATGCTCTATGCCATCTTCTTCGCTAATTCCAAGGTACTTATCGACTTCTACTTGTAACAGTACCGTAATGTCTGTGACAAAGTCTAAATCTATTTATGGTGTTTCTGTAATTCTCTCTTTTTTGAATTTTACTTTTACACATTTATCTAATCCGAAACCTATACCTATGAAGTCATTGAAATATTTTACAATATTGAGGAGACCCTTCAACTCATTGTCGTCTTTGGCAAAGAGTTTGAGATCATCCATGTAGATTAGATAATTGAATACTTTCTTCTTTATTTTGTAACCATAGCTACTATTGTTTAGTTCATGCGTAAGGGAGATTAAGGACATGCAAAACAAAAGGGATGACAGGGAGTCTCTTGAAAGAGTTCACATCGGATATTCAGACGGTTGAAGTTGGCGGTGCCTCTGGTGTGATTTAGGTATAGTGTGGTATTCCACATTCACATGCTGTTCTTAAAGACATTTACTACCACAGAAGAGACTTTGTACATTTCCAAAGTCTTAAGGATCCCAGAGTGTGGCACACTGTCAAAGGCTTTACGGTAATCAATCCACGCTGCGCTAAGAGTTCTACATATTTTCCTGCAATTTTCCAGGATCATTTTGTTTATCAGTAGTTGATCTTTGCAACCATATGAACCTCTCCTGCATCCCTTCTGTTCCAGTGGAAGAATGTTGTTTGCTTCGAAAAATGGTATAAAATTTACGACTTCTTATGTTGAGAGGCCGGCACAAAGTGTCATTCTACCAATGTCCAACTTTTCGATGCCAATGAGAGTGATAGTTATCAAGTTTTATACGGTAGACCATTCCTTTATTACAAATGGATGACGACAAGGAAAAGAAAAATACATTTCGGGTCATTTCTCAATCTGCTAGCCACTAAAAGATAGATATTTTCACTCAAAGAAAATTCAGTCAAAAAGCAAAACATTGTCAGATTAGTACACCTGTAGCCATATGCAAAATGAAAAAAAGAAAAGATCAGTCAATATGATCCCTACCCATGCGAATGCATATATACATACATAGACACACACACACACATAGACACACACATACACACACAGATAGATAGATAGATAGATAGATAGACAGACAGATAGACACGCACATGCATATATTCACGCATCGATAGAAATACATTATACCGAGAAGGAAACAAAAATGGATGGAAGGTTCCGCTGGAGCTGTGGGGAAAATTATTATTATTATTGTTGTTGTTGTTGTTCTTGAGTGGGAGAGCAGTGCGCCAACAAAGTGACACTGGGGTAGAAATATAACCATCATTGTAATGATAACGCTATCAGGCGCTTAGCGACTGCTTCAATGAAATGGAAGCAAGAAAGAAGGAAAGGTGGAAAACAGAAAGGAACAGAAATAGAGAAAACATCGGAAATGAAAGGAACGTAAGAAAGAAAGAAAGAAAGAAAGAAAAAAGAAATTGTAATATTAAAATCGACATATATTATTCTTGTCTTTTATAACTTTTCCATGGATCTATCTTCTTCAATATTATTCAAGTTTCATTGAGAATTATCGCCCATTAATTTAGGAGATAAGGAGAAAATGGACAACAATAGGGTATAAAATAATGAAATAATGTTCCCCATATTTTGCTTTTAAGATGAAGTTTTTAACAATTAAAAAATTGGAAAACCGTGAAAATTTCCCAGGTACTTTCAGAAATTATATTCAAACATTTAAAAAATTCAAACTTCATTGTAGCTTCCCTTGACATCAATACAATTGGTCCTTAGTTTTTCGCTATTTGTCAATATAGTCCATCTTGACATCAATGCCGAAGTTAAGCAACATCAAGCCTGGTCAGTACCTAGATGGGTGACTGTTTCGGAATACCAGGTACTGTAAACTTGGATGTGCGGGTGGAGTAATAGACACGGAATTGTTAATCGGAGACCCGAGTTCCAATTCCATTTGGGTTTGTTTCGTTAGCTTATGTACAAATAACCTTAAGAAAGGTATGGATCCACCACTTCTTTTTCTTCTTCTCCCCACCCCCAGTTATGGATTAATTAATAAGACCTGCAGCGTTAAATTATTATTATATCCAAAAAACACTGGTTCCTATACGATCAGCGAAGTTAAGCAACATCGAACCTGGTTAGTACTTAGATGGTTGACCGCTTGGAAATAGCAGATGCTGTTAGTTTAGATGTGCGGGTGGTGTAATGGATAGTGGCTCGAAATAGTTAATCGGAGAGCAGAGTTCAAATTCCAGTTGGATTCACTTACGCACAAATATCCGTAGGAAAGGTATGAATCCACCTCTTCTTCCCACAGTTATAGGTTAAGTAACAAAACTTTTATCACTAGAATCATTAATATCTCAAAAAATATTTTTACAATCTAAAAATATTTTCTCACTTTAAATAAGATGCAAAGAGTTTATAAACCGTAGAAAACGAACCAATCAATGAAATACTGATTAGCTACACAGGCATGTCTTTTAGATCTATTTACATTCTCTGGAATAGAAATGTATAGAAAATACAATGACCACAAAATGAGGGACCAGTTTATATATTGATTGCAATATCGAATTGATCCCCCACTTCATATCCATATTATAATTTCTTCTTTGTTAATAAGCCGTAGAAAAAGAATCAATCAATCAATGAAATACTGATTAGCTACACAGGCATATCTTTTAGATTTATTTACATTCTCTAGAATAGAAATGTATAGAAAGGACCCTGAACACAAAGTGAGAGCTCAGTTTATATAGTGATTGTAATATAGAATTGATCCTCCACTTTATATTCATATTATAATTTCTTCTTTGTTTATAATATTCTCCTCCAGCTATGAGTTAATTAATAAGACATTATTATCTAAAAAAAATTCTTACATCTAAAAATATTTCCTGGCTTTAAATAACCTGCAAGGGTTGATAAGCCTTAGAAAAGAATGAATAAAATTTATTATAAAAAATCTAGTAATGATAACCGGTGTTGCACGAACCGATTCCTTTCCTTCACTTTACTTTGCTTCGGAGCTATTTGTTTGAGAGATTTTCCTCAGCCATAAAACAGTATTAGTGAAACTGTAAGTTAAGCAAGTTCAAACGATATACGGTAGAGTATACGAGGGTTGTTCAAAAAGTTTTAAGGTTCACCCAGAGGGAGTTGGAGAAACAAGACAATTTTTCACTATTTTTCATTGTAGTCCCCCTTGACATCAATGCAATTGGTCTAATGATGCTTAAGCATTGCAATCCCATCACGGAAGGAAGTGGCGTCCCGGTCCTCCAAAACCTCCTCCATAGTACATATGACCTCATAATTGTTTCTAAAACGGTTACTATTTGATTTGAGTTTAGGAAACAGGAAGAAGTAAGATGGAGCTAAGGCTGGTGAATAAGGGGGATAGGATAGCAATTCAAATCCACAGTTGGCTGATTCAGCTAGTGCAACCTGAGGACGGGCGTGTTATTCTGGAGCAAGAGCACACCTGCCCTCAGCTTCCCTCTGCGTTTCGACTTGAATGCTTCCTTCAGTTGTCTTAATTCTGATGCATAGTACTGTCCATTAATAGATTTTCCATTTTCCAACTAGTCTATCATGATTACGCCGTCAGAATAAAAAATAAACAGAAGCCATCACCTGGCAAAAGACGCTACCTGCTTGAATTTCTTCGGGTGGAGAACCAGAATGTTTCCACTGTTTACTTTAAATCTTTAATTCAGGCTCGAAGTGGTGAACCCAGGTTCCAACTTGAGTTACTAATCTACGGTGGAAATGTCAACAATTTTCAGCTTCTGCTCTGGTGTCAGCATTCTTAGGACCCATCTTGCAAACAATTTGTTCATCCCCAAGACCTCAGTTAAAATACTATGTACCGAACGAGAAAAATTGAACTTAACTATCTGCTGAACAGTAAGACGCCTGTCAACCAAAACTATACGGTGAATGGCATCAAATTGATTGAGGTTTTTGGACGAACTTACTGAAGGTCATCTTCTGTGCTGTCTCTGCCCATCTTGAATTCCACAGCCCACTTCTTCCAAGTTGGATAGGAAATGGAGTCTTCAGCAAATGTCTGTAGCATATCCTCATGAAATTCCTTGGGTGTCATACCTTTTCTTTTGCAGATGCTTTAGGACTGCTAGGGCCTTTGTTTTGTCCATTTTTAGATTTGTCGCACGCCTCTCACATTTGTACGGGAATCACCTGTAGAGAAATGAAGACAGAAATCTGAATTAGTTTTTCTAGTTTTATAAGAAGTAGTCGTGTGGTGCCATCACAAAAATATTCAGCTATAGCTCTTCTGTCTGAGTGAGGCTTACAAGTTTTTTGAACGACCCTCGTATTTAATTAATGTCCAGGATTTCGAGAGAACGCACATACAAAATTTGAGCTAAGATTCGTAAGACGACAAATTCTTTGTAAACAGTCACAATCAGCACGGAGAGAGAGAGAGGGGGGAGAAAGAGAGGGGGGAGAAAGAGAGAAAGTGAGAGAGGGAGAGAGGAAGATAAAAAGGAAAAGAAAAGATATAGAACAAGTCAGGAAAAGGAACATAGAGGAAGAAAGTAAAAAAGTGAGATAGGATGAAAGAGAAAGAGAAAGAATGGGAGAGAGCTAGACAAATCCAAATTATCAACCGGAAACACGCTATAGATTATTTCCTGTTAATCCCAGGCCTTTCGAAAGATTTGAGGATGTCATGACGTCACACGCCAATAGCGAAAGGTTTCGACTTGTGGTCACCAAGCTCTTTACTCGTCAATTAATAAAATGGTTTTAAAAATGACAAAAGATAGTGTTAAAATAATTTTTATAAAGACACAAGATGCTATTATTTATTTATTTATTTTTAAAAGAGACAAAATAATGTTAAAATGTTTTTAAAAAAAAACACAATATACTGTTAAAATGATTATAGAAAAGACACAAAATATTGTTAAAACAATTTTAAAGGTCACAAGATAATGTTAAAATAGTTTAGACAAAGATACAACATACCGTCAAAATGATTTTAGAAAAGACAAAAGATTTTTTCACGGTATGCACGGATTTTTGCATGGTATTATAAATTACGTGTCGTCTGATGTATACGAATTGTTCAGTGAATGTACAAACTTTACAGAAGCTGTTAACATTCTAGAGAGAGGTGTCATCTAAGAAAAAAGTGAGATAAGCGCCAGGTATGTACTTGCAACCAGAACTCAACAAGCTGGAGAAACTTTGGATCAATATCTTCAAACATTGCCCGTTCTGGCAAAGGACTGTAACTTCAAAGATGTTACCGCTCAAGTTTACAAAGGGGAAGCTATTAAAGATGCCTTTATTTCTGGGTTGTCCGCACCTCCTATTCGACGGAGACTTCTTGAAAACAAAACGCTCACCATCACAGAAGCTGGGAATCAAGTGCAACGTGTGGAAAGGGATGAAATTTATTCTGTTCATACCCAAACAAGTTATCAAAGTTCGGTATCTGAACCCCAGACTAACGCCTTAACCTTTCAGCAAGAGGAAAATCGAAAGGAAGCGGACTCTCGGGCATCCGCTGCTAGCAAATCCCTTTTAAAAGAAAAGTGTTTTTACTTACGGGGTCACTAGGCACCATAGAAGTAAGTGTCCGGCTCGAGAAACGACAATTGCAACAATGGTCATTTCGATAAAGCCTATCGTTTGAAAACTTAAAAAACTTTTCTGCTGCATTACCCGTCATGACCACTGTAACTACTGGGCTACAGGAAGTTTCAAAGTTTAAAATGTCTCGTGAATAAAAAAAAAATATTATCACGCTAATAGATTCGGTAAGTAGTCATAGTTTTATCAACACCAAGATAGCTAAATTTATGTGTTTGAACGTTAAATACACTAAGTCTACCGTCAACATAGCTTTTTCTGATTTGTTATTAAAAACTGTAGGAAAATATAAAGCGAATCTCACGGTGGGTACTGAAACCTACAAAAAAAATCAATTTATCTTTAATGGATAATATATGTGCTGATGTGATCCTTGGACAAGACTTTCAAGGCCTGCACACAAAATAGACATTTTATATGAGGGTGAAAGACCACATCTAAAACGGTGTAGACTAACTAGCATGAGGATTTCACCTCCTTCTCCGTTTGAAAATCTGTTGCCTGACTGTAGACCTATATCTGTGAAGTCCCGAATATACTCTAGAGAAGTGGATGCATTTATAAGGAAGGAAATAAAAAGCCTGTTGGATTCAGTTATTGAAGCCAGTAGATCCCCGTGGAGAGCGCAAACAGTTGTAACTAAGGACGAGAAACGAAAATAAAAAATAGGTTAGTCATAGATTATTCATAAACGATAAATCGTTTTAGCTTAAAAGATGCTTATCGTCGAGCTAAAATTACAACGATGGCTTCGGAAATAGCAAAGTAAAGTCTATACTTTAAACTAGACCTAAAAAAATGAGTATCATCAAGTTCTACGTAAAGCAGATCGCCCATTACACGACTTTTGAAGCCGGTGGTAAATTGTATAATTTCAAAAGGATGCCGTTTGGGATCACAAATAGTGTGGATGGTTTTCAAAGGATTTGGGACCAAATAATCAGCAGGAGAAGGCGTATATAGATCACGTGACCATTTGTGTTATTGAAAAAGAACATGACACTAATTTGGCAAGATTCAAAAAACTGATTGAAAAGTATGGTCTCACCTTAAATGTGAATAAATGTGTCTACAAAGTAACGAAAATGAAACTTCTGGACTAAGAAGTGAGTACAGGGACCGTTAGACTGCACCCTGAAAAGATGAGGCCTCTGTGAGAACGCCCTCCTCCAGGCAATATAAAAGCTCTAAGGAGAATCGTCGGAAAGTTCGCTGACTACAGTCGTTTGATCTCAAACAATTCGCTAAAAATTTAAGCACTAAATACAGTGTAACCCGGATATAAGAGAGTTGTCGGGACTGGAGAAGTCTCTTATATCCGGATTTCTCTTATATCCGGGTTTGGTCTATTTTATATACATTAACACAGGCTCTAATTTGGGACCAGAGAAATTTCTCTTTTATCCGGGTTTCTCTTATATCCGGGTTACACTGTAACAATATATTCCCCTTACCTGCTAAAATAAGAGATTATCTTGAATATTTGAGAAGGGAATTAGAAAAAGCTATAGTACACATTCTAGACGAGAAAAAAAACTTTGAAATTGAAAC